CCTCCTCCACCATCACCTACACCCACCACCTCCTCCTCTACCACCATCACCTACACCCACCATCTCCTCCTCCACGACCACCATCACCTCCACTCACCACCACCACCACCTCCTCCACCATCACCTCCTCTACTACCCCTACCTCCTCCACCACCATCACTACCACCACCATCACCACCATTACCACCACCACCACCTCCTCCACCACCACCTCCTCCACCACCGTCACTACCATCACCACCGTCACCACCACCTCCACTCAGTCCCATCCTGGCCTAAACACTTTCATACGCTGCCTCTTAAATTGTTAGTTTTCACCGCCGCTCCAAGAGGGGAGAATTACGACCTCCATTGTTCAGATGAAGAAACCGGGCCACAGAGAGGCAGAGCCACTCAGCCACAGTCCTAGAGTCACTGTGGGGTTGGGACTAGGGTGATGCGAGCAAGGTCATGCAAAAGGGCAGGGTCTGATCCAGGCTTTATTTAAATTTTGTTCATAGCTCACCCTAGCGCCAGCCTTGGCAGAGCCAAAGTTGGACTCCAAAGCTGGGCTCTGGACTAGTCGCTGTTCTGCCCCGCTCCTTATACCTGTGTGCGTGCGCGAGCTTATTTACGTATTCTTTTTTTTTTTTTAAGTAAACTCTGCACCCACTGTGGGGCTTGAACTCATGACCCTGAGATCAAGAGTCCCATGCTCTACTGACTAAGCCAGCCAGGCGCCCCACGTTTGTGTCTTCTTTCCTTCATTAACCATAATTGTGGCAAGGTGGCATTGTAGAGGGCAGGGCTTGGGAAGCAGACAGTTCTGGATCTGACCTCCACTGCTCATTATTGAGGGTATAGCCTTTGGTTCAAGGCACAGACTCTGGAGCCAAGAAGGCCTTGGTTTGAAATCTCGCTCTGCTGCTTGCTGACTGTGTAAGTTTGCGTTAATTCCCTAAAACCTTGTGCCCTGCATTTCTCGTCTGTAAAGAGGGATGGTGGTACCAACATCTGCTACCCAGCATTATTGGGGGATCAAATGAGTTCATTTCTGTAAAGCCCGTGGCAAGTAGTAAATGCTTTGTAAGTGTTAACTGTCATTTTTCATCCTTGAGGAGATACCTCTCTGAGCCTCAGTTTCCCCATGTGTGAAGGATGACCAGGAAGAACCACCTCCCAGGCTGTTCTGAGGATTGAAGGGGATAACGTAGGTAAAGGGCCTCTCCTGTGGAAGGAGCTTAATAAAAGCTCTCTCCCTTATTTCAGGCCCAATTCTATATGCTGAAGACTGAGATACAAAGACACACATCAACTCCCTGAGGAATTAACTCATCTGCAGTGTGGACCCTGAGTTGACCTTTCAGTTCCCCAAAGGCACTGAACTCTTAACTCTCTGTCCTCTCCCTGCCTTGCTGTCCCCACGTCTCCTGTTATGGGCCTAACTCCTATTTGTCTTCATGTCAACTTACCTGTCACTTTCTCAAAGAAACCTTCCCTGACCGCACCCTGCCACTGACCTGTGTTGTCTTCCTGCTCTACGTGGTCACTGCCTTCTCGACTCTTCCTTCATGGCACTTCTCACAATTGCAATTGAGGACCTTTTATTTAATCACCTTTTATTAAAAATGTTCTGTTGTTTGTTTACCACCTTTCACCCTCACTTGACAGTGAGGACAGGGACGGGGTTTGTCTTACCCACGGGAGTCTCTGTCCTCAGCTCCTGGCCAAGGGTGGCACCTTTCCAGAGTCGTGTTCAAGCTCACAAACTCTGGAGTCCTCCTGCCTGGGTTCAAAGTCCTAGGTTCTGCCCTTATGGACCCTGAGACCCAGGGCAAATTATTTCACCCGTCTGTGCCTCAGTTTTGTTTTGTTTTTTTCCTACAAAATCAGGAGAATAGTCAGGGCACCAGCTTTCCTAAGGCATGATGATGAGTGCATGAGATAATCTGCATGATTCCTTTAGAACGATGCCTGGCCCATTCGTAACGGGGCTATTATTTTAGTAGGCGCTCCTGGCTAGACTAACAGCTGAAACAAACATCCCCCAAATCTCAGGTGCTTAACACTGCAAACATGTAAGGTTTGCTTAAATGTTCCACATTGAGTGCTTAAATGTAATACCTAAATGTTCCACATTCCAGTGTGGGAACTTTGCACTACGCAGTAATTTCTGGACCTAGGTTCCTGACACTGTGTTTCTGTGTCCACAGGGGGTTCTGTGGGTAGAATTCAGGAAGTCTGTGAACTTGGATGCTGTTTTAGGTTAGCTGAGCCTGAGGTGGGGATTTTTTTTTATTTAAGATTTTATTTATTTATTTGAGACAGAGCACAAGTTGGGGGAGAGGCAGAGGGAGAGGGAGAAGCAGACTCCCTGCTAAGCAGGAAGCAGGACCCCGGGATCATGACCTGAGCCGAGGGCAGATGCTTAACCAACTGAGCTACCCAGGTGCCCTGAGGTGGGGATTCTTGCTCAGATGATTTTTTTGAGGGGACACTCTCGGGAGAGAAGGAGAGTGACAGAAGCAGGGTAGGGCCGGGAAGTCACCGAGCAGGGGTGTGATCTTACCTGCAGTCCTGCTTCAGCCTGGCCCCACGGTCGGGGTTCTGGAGCCTGACTTGTACCACGGAGCTGGCTCTTCCTGGGGCAAGAGGGGGACTGGTGGGTGTCATCGGGCATTAGGTGTGGGCTGCTTGGTTGGAGTGGGGACGTGGCTTCTGTGGGTGCCGTTCTCTGGGATAGCAGTGAGCATTAGCAGCCTATACAGGAGCTAGGGGTGGGTGCATTTGCCCAGCGAAGTGTTCTGGGCAGGGCACCCAAAGTGTCTTCAACAGATGGAAAAACTATCTTATTTTTACTAACCTATTACTGAAATTTAGCATTTGCTTCAGTTATGGAGGCAGGCAATAAACCATAGTAGTATTAGAAGCATCTGTGACTTTGTCACCAGTGGAAATTACATACTTTCATGTCACATTATTATTGTTGCAGATATCTTTTTTTATAAAAATCTTAATTTTTTTTCAGTAATCTCCACAACCAACATGGGGCCCAAACTCACAACCCCAAGATCAAGAGCTGCACGCTCCCCCACCTGAGCCAGCTAGGCGCCCCTATTGTGGATATCTTTGAAATACCCTTTCTGCTAATCTGTACTTTAAAATTATTGTGGTTAGTTCACTTGCTAGATATTTTGTTCAATGTGTTAATGAAGAAAATGCATTCTATTACAGATTCGTTCCTGTAATATTTTGGAAACAGTGTGTCAATATAATTGCATCCCTTTGTAATCCTATGTATTTTATGCACTTTAAAATATCATTCTGAGAAGGGGTCCATAAGTGTCACCAGATGCCAAAGGGGTCCGTGACACAAAAGAAGTTCAGTTCCCCATTCTGGGGTGTTGGCCTTCCCTCCGTTCAACCAGCAACAGGGGGAAAGGAGAGGGTGTAGAGGATCACACAGGAGGTTTTAATGGGCCAGGCCTGGAAACAGCATACATCATGTCTTCCCACAGTGCACTGGCCAGGACTCAGTCACCTGACCACACTGACTGCAAGGGAAATGTAGTCCATCTGTGTGCTGGAAGGAAGAGGGAATGGTCTAGGGAATGCACAGCAGTCTGGCACACAGGGTTCAATACGTCTTCATTGGCAGCCTGAGTGAATGAAAGCTGTGTCCGGCGTGTCTTTGGTGGGCAGAGGTCTGGTTTTCTGGAGGGATCCTGAGTCTCTACCATGTTGTCTCTTCAGGACAAGCCACGCCAAGGCCAAAGCTGAGGCAGCGGAACAGGCCGCCCTCGCTGCCAACCAGGAGTCCAACATTGCCCGCACTTTGGCCAGGGAGCTGGCTCCGGACTTCTACCAGCCAGGTAGGGCCAGCCTGGGAGGGGACGGGTGGCATAGGGTGAGGGCAGGCCTGGGTTGGACCATTTTTCTTTTTGTTTGGTTGCTGGAAAACTGAGGTGCCCAAGTGGCTTCACAAATGCCCCTGAGTTCAAGCAACTAGGGGGCGGGTATGGTGAAAGCTTGGGTGAGAAGCTTGGGAGCGACACCAGGGGACTCATGCTGAGATGGTGGTGGGGGCATCAGAGGCTGCCGGTTGCGGACTGGACCCACCCCAGGCTGCACACAGGGCTTGACAGGTGAGCTGATGAAGCTTAGTGAAGGGAGAGGTCTCTGTGGATGAGGAGGCAAAAAGCCCCGCTGCTCTTGCTCATCACTTTCAGTCTGGCATTGAGTGCTGCCCACATGTCAGGCACTGTGCTGGGCTCTGCTTACAAAACCTGGATTCTGGGTCCAGAATCTAGAGGAGCCGAGAGTCATGGAGACAACCTATCAGGGAGTGAGGCACATATTCACGTCCTGACTCCGCTGCTAACCAGCTCAGCGACCTTGTTAAGTTCTTTAACTTCTGTAAACCTCGGTTTTCTGATCTGTAAAATGAGGGTAAGAATAATACTTACTTTTGGGGGGTGGGTCCAATGCATGTCAGGTGGGGAGCACATGGCCCAGTCCACAGTGAGCTCTTGATAGCTCTTGGCTCTTGTCTCACGGTTATGATTAAATTGTGCACAGCGTCAGTTCTGTGTGGCTTGAGCAGGGGCTTTGGGAGCTCAGGGGGGCACTTCACCCAGTCAGGCAGGGAGATGTTGGCAAAGGCCGCCCTCAGGAGAGGCCGTCTGAGCCGAGTCCTGGAGGCTGAACGAGAGTTCACCAGTTCAGTGGGTCTCCAACATGACACAGCATGCTGGGCCCAGCCCGAGTTTCTGATTCACTAGGTCGGAATGTGCTTTTCTTTTTCTTTTTCTTGCTCTTTTAAAAAAAATATTTTATTTATGATTTATTTTAGAGATGGGGGGCAGGGAGCAGAGGGAGAGGGACAAGCAGGCTCCCTGCTGAATACAGAGCCCCACGCGGGGCTTAATCCCAGGACCCCGAGATCGTGCCCTGAGCCAAAATCGAGTCGAAGGATTAACTGATTGAGCCACGCAGGCGCCCCTGAATGTGCTTTTCTCACAAGATCAGGCAACGCGGATGCTGCTGGTTTGGGACCACTCACTGCGATCCCGAATCGCGGCCCCACGCGGTGCTGTGTGGGCGGGCAAACCAGGGGGAAGGGAGTGGGGGTGCAAAGGCGCAGAAACTTGGAGCAGAGTGGCAGGCTCGGAGGTGAGATAGCAAAACAGGCAGGAACTGGTGGGGAAAGCTGCAGAGCAAGAGTCTCTGATAGAGACTCGCAGGGGGATAGGGAGCCGGGGGCGTCCAGGGGGTGGGAGACGGCTGTTCTCCGCACTGAAGGGTTTTATGGTGAGTGGCATGATTAGACTTGGGTCTTCTAAATGTTATCCTGGCTGTAGCAGGGACACCACAGGGGACCAGTCGGGGGACCGTGGAGCGCAGATGTGTCCCTGGGGGGCTAGGTTGCCTCCCGGCACAGCGCTCCCCCTGCTGGTCCCAGGAAAAGCGACATTTTATGACACCTCCCGGAGGGGCCTCCACCTTGGGTGGTCATAGCAACAGCAGTCACCACGTGCCAGGCCCTGAGCTCCGCATTTTTCATGCATTTTTTTCCATTAACCCTTCCGTTAGTATTTATTTAAGATTTTATTTATTTATTTGAAAGAGAGAGAATGAGAGAGAGCACATGAGAGGGGGGAGGGTCAGAGGGAGAAGCAGACTCCCTGCCGAGCAGGGAGCCCGATGCGGGACTCGATCCCGGGACTCCAGGATCATGACCTGAGCCGGAGGCAGTCGCTTAACCAACGGAGCCACCCAGGTGCCCACCCCTTCCGTTAGTATTTATGAAATAGGTACGATTAGGCCATTTTTCCAATAAGGGAATGGAAGGAAACCAGTGTCACGGTGAAGAAGTTGGACTGGGTGCTGGTCCTGGCTCTGCCCTTTGTCAGCTGGGTGACTTTGGGCAAGTGATGTCACCTCTCTAAGCCTCCCTTTCTTCCTCTGGACACAAGAGGCCAATAATAGCACGGACCTCTTAGGGTGGTTAAAAGGCTACTCTTTGGAAACTGCTGGGCCCACGCTAGACGGTGGGAAGGTGCCGGCTGAGTAAATAAAGCAGGCTGGGCGGCAATAAGCGGCTCGCCCAGGGTCACCAGAGGTGGGACCCGGGTTCGAGGCCAGCCTCGCTGGTTGTCCCCCGCAGGACCGGAGTATCAGAAGCGCCGGCTGCTGCAGGAGATCCTGGAGAACTCAGAGAGCCTGCTCGAGCCCCCGGAGCGGGGCCCCGGGGCGGCGGGGCCCCCACCGCGCTCCCGCGAGAGCCCGCAGCTGCACGAGCGCGAGCCCCTGGGGCCTGACGGCGGCCCCCCGTCGCCGGCCGGGACGCCCCCGCAGCCCAAGCGGCCCCGCCCGGGGGCGACCAGGGACCGCCTGGCCAGCCCGGGCGCCTGGAACGGGGAGCCGGGCGCCGAGGGCAGCCGGCCGCTCACGCCGTCCGAGGGCGCGGGCCGCCACAGCCCCGCGCGGCCTGCCGCCGAGCACATGGCCATCGAGGCGCTGCAGCCGCCACCCGCGCCGGCGCAGGAGCCCGAGGTGGCGCTGTACCGGGGCTACCACAGCTACGCCGTGCGCACCGCGCCGCCCGCGCCGCCGCCCTTCGAGGACGAGCCCGAGCCCGAGGCCTCCGGGCCCGACTCCGCGCCGCCGTCGCCGGCCGCCGCCCCGCCGCGGGCCCCCGAGCTCGCGCCCGGGTCCCCGGCCAAGCTGGAGCCAAAGCCCATCGTCCCCAAGGCCGAGCCCAAGGCCAAGGCCCGCAAGACTGAGGCCCGAGGGCTGACCAAGGCGGGGGCCAAGAAAAAGGCTCGGAAGGAGACGGCGCAGGCAGCCGAAGCCGCAGTGGAGGTGGACGAGGTGAGGCTGGGGGCGGGAGGACGTGTCCCAGCTCGGGTCCCCCGGGACTGGTTGGGCTCGAGGCGGGATTCCAGTGCGGATGATTTGGGCGTGCGGAGGGTGATGGCACAGGATGGGTCAGGGGAAAACCCCCGCAGGGATGTGGGCTTAGTCAAGGGTAGCCTGATCAGGACTTGGTAGCATAAATCACAGTGTAGAGTCCGCCCACCTTGGGGCAGGGGGCTGGCCTTTGTGCCTGCGGTCAGGTCAGCAGGGGGCAGTGCTTTGGAGAAGGGGCTGCTGGGAGCCCTAAGCAGGTGGGGCGGGGCGGGGGGGGGGGGAGTGAGTGCACCTGGGGAACCAGAACGATCTGAGCTGAGCACCAGCAGCATCTGCTACAAGGTGTAGTAGCAGGGAGGGCTTCCTGGCCCTGGAGGAAGGACCCAGTAGGGCTTATTAGAGGGGGCTGGGAACTGGAAACTCAGGGACCGAGAGTGAGGCAAGGTTGTGTGGGACCAATGGATGCCGTCCGGGGTCGGGGGGCAGTGGGGATTAGCAGAAAGGAAGGCATGTTCTGGCTTCCAGGCCCAGCGCTGGCCACTGTGTGCTTTGGGACACATCCTTGCCCCTCTCTGGACCCTATATGGTTTGGTTAATCATTTCCCAGAATCCTTTAGCTCTGATGGTCTGCTGTTCAGGTGCTGGACACAGCAGTGAGCAAAACGAGGGGTGCTCTCAGCAGGGTTTTTCAGAAGTTCCTGCTCCTCTGTCCAGCCTTGTTGGGTCTTGGGTGGGGGGTGTTTCAGAGGCCATGGGAACTCAGCTTCTCTCCACCGCTCCCAGGTCCCCAACACCGTCCTCATCTGCATGGTGATCCTGCTTAACATCGGCCTGGCCATCCTCTTCGTTCACCTCCTGACCTGACCCTTGTCTACCAGGTGCGTCCCCTGGGGGGCGGAGGGAGGAGGATGAGCCTGCAGAGAGCTCTGGGCACCAGGGAGATGGAGGAAGGATGTTGTCTACTGGGCATCTGTCCTGTGGCTAATTGAGGCCCGGCCCCCAGCCCAGGGAGGGACGACGGATTTGTGGATTTGATAGATCATGCCTTCCCCAACACACACACACACACCCCTTGTTAGCTCAACATGTGCAGAGCACCTGCACCCTGTCAGGTGAGCCCTGGGGGCTTCACTCACTCATTCATCATTCATTCATTCATTCATTTGACCACCATTTACTGAGCAGATGCTCTGCTGGGATCTAGGGATACATCGGGGACCCACTCCTGCCCTAAGAAATGGGGTGAAGATGACAGTAAACCCTTAACTTACAGCTTATTATGCAGAAGTCGGACATGCAGAGGTGAGGCAAAACAGCCTCTCCCCAGACTCCCACGGTCTCACCTGAGCTTGCCTGAGACGGGCAGGCCTTCTTCTCTCGGCCCTCCCTTTCTCTCCTGCCCACTTCAGTCTGTAATCCCTCTGCCCCTGGCCTCCCCATCCCCCAGTCCTCCCTTCCAGAAACCCCCACTGTCAGTCAGTCGGTGTCCCATGCTGGAGCTGGGAGGGCTTGGTAAGACCGGTGAAAATGAGCTGGGCTGGGCGGTGCTGGGCTGAAGGAGAGTGGCTCTCATGGGTCTCAGGGTGAAGTATCCACAAAACAAAATCTTTTCCCTGCTAGGACCAGCCTTCACACCATAAATCCTGTGCTTGGTGATGCTAACAGAGTTTCTGCGTCCTGCCCTGCCCCCAACCAAAGACCCCAGCCCCCCTCCTCAATCCCAGCTTAGTGTGGGCTGGAGGTTCCTACTCAGTCCCAGGACAGGAGAAGAACTCCCTGTCCAGTCACCCAGTAAATAGCCAGTGACAATATTAGCCTGGTAGGTGGTATCCTGGGGGTGAGCGCTGGGCTCCGCTGGGTCCTGTGTTCCACAGGGGATCTGGGCGTGTTGGCTGTAGGAGCTGACACTTTATGACCTGAAGGGTGGAAGGGTGAACCAGATGACAGGAGGAGGAGGGCCGGGAAGAGAGTACCAGGCACAGGGACAGCAAGGCTGGGAGAGGCCTCACGGACTTGACTCTGAACCTGTTCAGTCAGAGCCCAGGGGCAGGGCTGCCCAGGAGGCTGGGAGAGGTGGGTCCTGGCCCCAAAACACATCAAGCCTGAGGCTTGAACGGCGCCTCGAACCTGGCTCAGCCTCGTCCTCCCTCCCTCCCTCCCTCCCTCCCTCCCTCCCTCTCTCACCTGAGCCTCTTGCTGTCTGTCTGCAGAGCCAGCAGTCCCTGCTGAGGACGTGAGGACCCATCTTTCTGCATTACCAGGCAGGGTGGCCAAGGAGGACTGAACTCTGGACCTGGAGCCCTGGGGTCCAGCTCACATCCACCCCACATCCGTTTCAGGAGGCCTCGCGTGGCCCTGCGCTGGGTGGCAGTGGTGCCCAGCGGAATGGAATGTGCTGGGGATCCTCCGGGAGCTCTGTGTCCGGCGGCAGGGGAAGCCTCAAAGGAAGAGCCCTGGTCTCCTGTGCGCGCCTGTCCCTCATCCTCACCCATTCCCTCGCCTTGCTGCTAGGGTCCCCCCTCCCTGAGCTTTTGTGTGTTTTGGGAGATGTCACTAAACCAAGGTAGTAATACGAACTCCCAGCCCCTTTCCTTGCACCCCTGCCCTGATTTATTTTAACCGTCTGGCTATGGGGGGAGTGACAGATCCCCGCGGCGGGTGAGCCAGGGAGCCACCCCCCCCCCCCCCCCCGCCCCAACGGGGCAGAGGCCGTGCCTTTCGTGGGCTTCGTGCAGCACACACTCTGTCCCTTGCTTACAGATGTTCTGGATGACAAGAGAGGCAATGGACATGCTTAGTTTGAAAATCCCAGGATACAGTGCTCCTGCCTCCTCCCACCGGTTCGGTCAGCTTCCCTCCTGGACCAGTAGAAGAGGGGGAGATGCGAGGCACTGGAGCCTGGGGTGGGAAGAAGGGCCAAGGGATGGCCCCTGTCTTTGAGTGTGCCTGAGCCCGAGGCTGCCTCGCATCTGGGGCTTCCAGTGTGCCCAGGGTGCTAAAGGGCCACCCCGCAGGAGCCCCGGAGGCTGCCAGGATAACACTAGCGGGATGTCCTGCGAATTGGTTTGTCCGTTTCCCTCACCAGGGCCCACCGCAGCCTCAAGGGAGAATGAGCATGGAAACCCGTGGAAGCCCAGGCAGATTTCCCTGGGGACAGACTCTCAGGCAGGCGCTGAAGACAGGCTATTTGTCAACAATCATTTGCCAGGGAGAGAAGAGCAAGTCTGGGGTCCCCAGTGGGTGCAGTCTGTTGGATAATGAGCCCCTTGGCTTGCTTGGCAGAAGATGGTATTTGCATGTAGCTCATTACAAATGTTTTGCACCACACTGGATCTCCAGTCCCTTGTGCTTGCTGGGCTGGGTGGAGGCTGAGGGCTCACGGGCCCGTTCACCTGGGAGGACAGAGGAAAGGGCTTCTAGGCCCCTTCAAGCCCAGGGAAGGTTGTGGCAATGTCATCCAAGCAGAACCGTGGGGATGCCGCTCTCCTGCTTGTTTCTGTGGACCTTGGGGGCTTTGGTGTTTTGATCCAGCCTCCCCAGGGCAGCCCCGCAACCTGGAGTCTGTTTCTGATGAAGTTGGCCTCGCCTTTCCCCCTCGGTACTTGGGCACCTTCCTCCAGCTCCATGTGTGCTCTTTCAGGCGCCGCTGGGGCCTCATGGCGGGGCTGGAATCTTGGGCTGCGTTTCTGTGGAGAGGAGCCTGCGGATTCTCCCGTCCTCAGCCAGCCTGTGGCTCTGTGTCTGTGTTTGGGCTTTTCTGGACTCCGAGGGAAGGACAGGGCTGGGCTGGGGGCACTGCTCAGGGCTGGTGGGCCCCAGGCCTCGGCTCTGAGAGCATTGTCCAGGTTTGGGGCTGGCCCAGTGCTGGAGATAAGCCTCTGGGTACCAGAGCTCCCGGGCCTAGGGTTAGGGCTGGTGCTTGGGGTGAGGGTTCTGGATGCTGCCGTCTGTACAATAATAAACCTACATCTGCTCGCAGGCTCTGGAGGAGCTGCAGGGTCTGCTTGTGGGCCCAGCCTGAGGGACTGACTGAAGCGGGCAGGAGAGGCTGGGGGTCCGGTCTTTTTCTTACAGTTCCTATCATACCCCTTTGGGGCAGCCGAAGGGCTTCAGTGCAGATCAAAGACCTTCCAAGGCAAACCCTGGATTTCTAAAGCAGACTTCCAGAACCTTCCCTGAGAAGCGTGTGTTAGAAGAAAGAGCTGCCCTTTGAAGTTAGGTCCTCTTGGCCTCCTGTCCTGCTCAGCCACTTATGTCTCTTCTGACCCTCAGTTTCCCCACCTCTAAACAGGGAAAATAATGGTACCTCCCTCCCTCCTGAGACTGGTGGGGGGATTCCACAAAGTGTCGATGCTCGTGGAGGAAAGCCCGGCTGAGGAAGCAGTGGAGACATGGAGACTTGGATCATGATTGCCAAACACCCCAGTACCTCTTGCATTTTGGTTGAGGTTGAGGACCCCAGAAGCCCCGAAAGCATGGAGACGACCCAGGTCACAGTCAGATAGTCACAGAATGTCTCAGAGGCTCAGAGGCCACCTTCCTTCTCTACAGAGGCCCAGAGAGGAGAGATTTGCCAGGGGTCACACAGCAAGTCAGCGGCAGGAGAGCAGTTGTCCCGACTTGTGTGTGAAGAAGCACTTCCGGTGAAGGGTCTCCTGCAGCTGGCTGCCCCGTGTGACGGTCGGAGGGGCGGGTCCCTCGCCCCTCCACCTCACCCCTCCACAGGCAGCGCCCAGAGTGCGTGGGGGACCAGGACTCCCCTTTCTCTCCCCGGTGCTACCACGGACTCGCTGTGTGTCATTCCTTCCTTCCTTCTGTGCCTCAGTTTCCTCTTCTGCCAAAGAGACTAGAATCCCTGCCCGTGGCTTCCTTCACAGGCAGTGCAGTGAGAACCAGATGAGGGGGATTGTGGGTGGTCAAGAGGTGTTCGAAACCCTGGAATTATCCAGGAATCCCAGGAAGAAGGAGGGGCTTGGAGGGACCACTGGAGGGGTGGCGAGGATAGGAATGAGGGAGCCGCTTAAATCGGCAGGGGTTCTAAGAAAACCCACTGAGGGAGTGTGTGTGTGTGTGTGTGTGTGTGTGTGTGTGTGTGTAGGAAATGGG